CGTCTTGATGGCATGTAATTAACAAAAGCAATTCAATTAATGTGTGCAGGCACAGACATATAAATTGGGAGGCTTTCTTGGGATCTGATCTATACCTCCAAAGACATTTTTATTAGTCAGAATTGTATTGTTCTGGGCCAAAGGCCCCATTAGTACTTCTAGGAAGCACATGATAGAAAATAGCTATAATATTCTGTGCTTCTAGAAGCTGATTCCTTACAGGAAGGAAGGACTTTAAAAAAATGTAAATACATAAATAAAATTAAAAACAAAATCAGTGTAATTGGGCATATTCACTTTCTATAGAAGGAAGATACGAAGCTTTTCATCCTGGAGTATGCAGCACTCCACAGCTTTACAAACACGCTCTTCTGATCAAGCAACCTGGCAGTGGTCTTCAGACCCAGCTCCTTATACCAGAATGGCCTAGCTACATTTTGTCAAATCGCTGGGTGTTCTGTTTTATTGACATTCTGCAGGAGTAGTCAGAGGCATTGAAGAAATAGGGAGATTTTAAAGAAAATAAATGCAGAATTGTCTTACTAAAAGTGATATTTGAAGAAAGCTAATTTAGTAGTTCTAAAAAGAATTCCTTAGAGCAAAGGGAGCCTGGAATCTGGGATGCCAGGAGGGGCACACTTGATGCGGGTAGGGGAGCAGGGAGAGGAGAGGTGGGACCTGCATCCAGGCAGTGGGGGAAGACACATGTGTGGAAGTCAAGATCAGGACTCCCTGGCAGTGACAGTTAAACAGAGCCATGAGCTCTGTCTGTTTAAGCCAGAACATCCATGAGTGGTGGTACCGCTGAGGTCACTGGGAAGACAAGGTAGGAGACTAAGTAGCAAAAGAAGCATTCAGATTCAGATTCAGCCAGTTGCATCTACAGAGCCAGCCACAAAATTCCCTGACCACCTAAGAAACCTTCTTTATGCCCTGACCACACTGGCATCCAGGAGGCCACAGTTGCATTGAGACCAGAAGGCAGCTAATGAGGGCTCTGGTGGGACAAATTTCCTCTGCCTTCAGCAGATCCACACTGAGATGGAGAGGTGGGGCTTCATGTATTACACGCAAGTTCATTCTTCGGAAAATGCCAATTTGGTAATCCTATGTGGGAAACTTTGTTCAAAACTATCAATTACGGCTTATTTTGCAGTTTGAATATGATTTATCTTCTTATTCCAAAAGCTAGTATGTTGGAAAACTTCTATTCCTCTCTCTCTGCCTCCAGCAATTGCTCTACCATGCTTGAGATTCCAATATGCTAGTCTTCTTCTGTCCTCTACAGCTCAGTTCCTTGAGCATCCTTTTTGCTATGTGTGGAGAACTCCTAGAAGGAGCTTGCAGTGTCTTTTCTTGTCTTTTCTTTTCTTTTAACCAAAAAGTAGGACTCTGAAAACCCAAAATAGCTTAGAACATTTTGTGGAGTTGAGGGTGATGCTACATGATGGGAACTAGGCAAGTGATCTTTTTTTTCTGAATTCTTGCAGTTTCCCCAAACCTTTATATTATGTATTTAATATCTCTACGCAAGAATGGAAGGGGTCTAAAATTTTAAAAAATATCTAATAATAGAAAGTTTCCTCCTTTCTATTTTTGGGTGTTTAAAAAAGACCTGCCATCCCTGCTTCCTACCACTTACGTTAAGGCTTACTCTCTTCCCTTCCAGTCTCCCAAATAAGCAGCGCTCTTGGCTTTGGAGTGTGGAGTAAACAATGCATCCCCCACCAGCCGTAAGAGCTTCCACTTTTCCTGTATCCTTCCAGGTTTGGTCTTCTGATTGAAATGCCCAATTGTCACTCCGGCCTGTGTCAGAGAAGGAAAGAAGGATATGGCCCGGATAAATTTGAACAGCCCTCAGAGGAGGCCCTTTGGGGGCCTCATCCCTGAGAATGAGCCCCCTCATTTCTGTGTCGTTTCCAAAATTAGACCCACCCTGAAAGACGCATGTGAGGGCTCATACTCTCCAGGATGGAGAGCATCCAAGAAGCAGGTGTCTCCCTTAGCAAGTTATGTGTCCATCTGTTCACATCTTAAAGAAGGTAGATGCTTCCAGTAGCTTCTTCCAAACACTTTCTTATAATTGCCAAAGGCTAAAGGCATGCATCAATCCCCAAATAATACATGGCCATTAAATCCACTGTCCCTTTGACCAGTGGTAAATTTCGCACTACCTACATTTTGGAAGCCTATACAAAATAATCCAAAATCAATGGTAAGCCTTGATGCATATCATATATTTTCTGACATGTGTGTTTTTCTTATATTGTGCTTCTCCTAGAATTAACATTTGCTTCTCCTAACATCCCCTTACTGATCATATCAACATTACAGCATTATAGTGCTTCTAAATAGCAATTAAATAGCAATCAGCTGTCCTCTATTTATACGTCTAATTTTATTCTGTTTAAAACATTGCTGACCATTCATAAATTATACTATATTTGCATTTCCTGAGCCTGTTTGTTTCTGTAACTCTTGCATTTTACACTTGAGACTCAAACTCGGTTATCACTTTCATGCAGAAAAAGCTCTGATCAACTTTCAAAGCATTCTTCAGCCAGCTGACATCTGTGTGATGTGGCAGAAGTAAACAAGTATGGCTTGATATTTCTGAATTGTCCTCTATGCTCTTATAGCATTCTGTGACTCCACTGAAATACAATGTGGTTTCCAGGAAACAAGTAACTGTGTAGCCCAAGAAATGCAGAGAGATATCTGAAACTGTCACCGAGGCTCTGTCTAGTTCATTTCTTGCCACATTAGGACATGCTCTGGCCCAGGTCAACACACAGAGTCTCTAAATTACATACACCAGGACAATAATTTCAAAGAAGAGATCACTTTTGTTCATGAAAAATCTCCATTTTAGACTCAGATAAGTGCATCCATATGTGACATTTGTCAGAGATAGATACTCCATCAATCAGGATGTTCCATGTTTGTCAGAGGCAAGTTTAGTTAGACCAGGTACCTATTGCTAAAAGCATTCCATAGTTAAGGACTCTCCTGCTATAAAAATACAGTTTACCTAGAGGTATGTTTATGATGAGGTATGACAATGGTGCCTTCTTCCTTATCTGGGGGTTCTGCCTCCCACTCCCTGCACAGTAAAGACAGAGAATGAGGTGCAGGTCCTGTGCTTACCGTTTCCTTTTCCACCTTCCCAACCAACTATGCCTCTGATCTGGTGTTTTCTAGGCACTCCCCTCCTCAATAATAGAGAACTGTTTTGTTCCAGGGCCTGAAAAACTCCCTTATTTTCCAATACTTTAAAAATAATTGTTGACCAAGAAGAAGAGGCTGTTGAGCAACCAAAAGTATGTATTTGGGGTCTTAGATGCAAAGCGGACTGAAGTTGGAAGTGTGCTCTGAATTGCATGTGCGGAGTACAGGCTTATAAAGGCAAAAACCACCAGGTTACGTAACTTATTTTGAAGGAATTATGATTGGTGCTGACAAACTTAAACTGACTGACTAATACAGGATTGGCCATTTAGCCAATAGATGTTTCACTATTTCAGTCCAAAGCAGAAGGGTGTATTTCAGGAGGTGGTCCAGTCGCAATTGACCAAAGTCAAAAGTTCATGGTGTTCACAGAATTGAAACGGGGGTTGTGCCTAGGCCCTACTTCCTCCATGCCCTCCTCACCCTCTTTTGAAATGACGCTCTTAGCAATGCTTAGTTCACTTTGGAATCTCCTTTCACATAATCAATTACAAGATTTCCAAATTGTAGTAGGGATCAGTATTAAAGAGGCAAGAATTCTTCACATCCAACCAGGAGATAATTATATTACAGACTATGTCCTAGGAATAATCAAACATGCTTTGGGTAACAGTTTCTCCTTTTTGTCAAAGGACACTAAATAGACAAGAACTCAGGCAGCCAGCCACTAGAATCATCATTAAAAGGAAAATGTTATCTTAACATTTAATTAAACCTTCAGAGAAACGAAGCCTGAGCCACTGAGTTTTCTATGCTAGTTTTTTTTTTTTCTTTCACACAATTTGATTTCCAGTTTGTATACTGTCTCTTCTCAGGATTTCAATGTGTTTTATTTCTTTTTTATTTTATTTTTTTTAAGATTTTATTTATTTATTTGACAGAGAGAGAGACAGCGAAAGAGGGAACACAAGCAGGGGGAGTGGGAGAGGGAGAAGCAGACTTCCCACTGAGCAGGGAGCCCGATGTGGGGCTCGATCCCAGGATCCTGGGATCATGACCTGAGCCAAAGGCAGACGCTTAACAACCGAGCCACCCAGGCGCCCCTCGGTGTGTTTTAAATAAGCATTATAGTTTCCCCATGAAGGAATGCAAAGTTAATTATTTTCCAAGGTGGAAACAAAAGATTTCAGAATTCTCAGAAAGTTTGTTGAAGCATAGATTAATTACATGTGTAAAATTATACAGTCTTCTGACCTCGTGTGTGTGTGTGGGGGGGAGGCTTTAAGCTATTATAAAAATTTAAGTTAGCAGTTAAATGCTATTTAAGCCAGTGACTAAACATACCAAAATTATAATGAAATACTTTCTCGTCTCTTCTCCTCTGCTTACTCTGCATAGCCAAAATGGTGTCTCTTCTGTTCTTTTAGTACAACCAGCACACTCCTGCTTTAAGCCTTTGTTTTTGCTGATGTTCTCTGCCTGGGCTGCTCTTCCCCCAAAAGGCTGTGTGGCTGGTGCCTCATTTCATTCAGCTCTCTGCTTAGCATCACCCTCACAGAGTCCTGCCAGAAAATACTTTCTGACATAAGCATCCCTTACTTCGTGATCCCTTTCTCCGGCTTTGTCTTCAAAGTGCTTTTCATCCCCTCCCTCAATTTCTCTCTCTTTCTATAAAATTTATTTGATTATGGTCTGCCCTTCCCCAACAGCATGAGAACAAGACTGTGTCTGTTTTGTCTTTATTCCTGTTTTGTTCACCCCTGATTGCCCGGATAATTAAGCAGCACCTAGTAGAACCAGCAGATGCACCCCCTCCTCCATATTTTTTGCAGCATTATTTACGACAACCGAGATACGGAAACAACTGAAGTGTGCATCAGTGGATGAATGGGTAAAGGAGATGTGGTATATATACACAATGGAGTACTCCTTACCTATAGAAAAGAATGAAATCTTGCCATTCACAACCACATGGCTGGACCTCGACAGTATCATGCTAAGTGAATAAATCAGACAGAAAGAGACAAATATTAGTATAATGTTGCATCTCAGATGATTGTACTCTACACTTCATGTAAATAGCAAACAGAGAGAGATATAAATGTTGACTATCTATGCTTGTACTTTAGGAGAGTTTAACAAATATATCTTACTATGACATCACTTCCTGGACTCCCAAGTCTATACCTCTTAATTGGCTTTCCCATTGAATAAAAGCATTTTATGAAAAAAAAGTGTATTTAAATAACAAAACAACAAAACAAGACTTAAAAACCCTCAAAGCTAATATGTACTCAACAAGTAGTTGTGGAATGAATGAGTGAATGAATGAAAAGTTACTGTGGATGGCATTATCCTTCTCTTAGAGATAGCATTCAGAGTTAGCATCAAATATAGTCTAGGGGCACCTGGGTGGCTTAGTTGACTAAGCATCTGCCTTCTGCTCAGGTCATGATCTCAGGGCCCTGGGATCCAGCCCTGCTTCAGACTCCCTGCTCATCAGGGAATCTGCTTCTCCCTCCCCCTCTTCCCCTCCCCATGCTTGCTCTCTCTCTCTCAAATCAATAAATTAAATAGTTTTTAAAAATTTAAAAATATGAGCGCCTGGGTGGCTCAGTTGGTTAAGCGACTGCCTTCGGCTCAGGTCATGATCCTAGAGTCCTGGGATTGAGTCCCACATCGGGCTCCCTGCTCAGCGGGGAGTCTGCTTCTCCCTCTGACCCTCTTCCCTCTCATGCTCTCTATCTCTCATTCTCTCTCTCAAATAAATAAATAAAATCTTTTAAAAAAATTTAAAAATATATTGTTTAATTTATGCATTATGGTTTTATGAATAGGGTTTGCAGCAAGATAGAATCCAAATTAAGATTTTAATTTTAGAAGAAGCTTAAAAAGGAAAAAAAAATCATATCTTTACAAATTAAAAGGAAAATAAGCCAGGATGGAATACCACTATGAACCTGATAGAATGTCTAAAGTGAATTGAAAGCAAAAACTGACAACATCAGGTACTGATGAGGATGTGGAGCAGTTTGGGCTCTCAGACCTTGCCGGCGGGAATGGAAAGTGGTAAATCCACACTAGAAGCCAGTTTATCAGTTTCTTTTTTTATTCTTTATTTAAATTCAATTTAATTAACATATACTGTATTATTCGTTTCAGGGGTAGAATTTAGTGATTCATCAGTTGCATATAACACCCAATACTCATTACGTCAAGTGCCCTCCCTAATGCCCATCAAGCAATTACCCCTTCCTCCCACCTCCCCTCCAGCAACCCTCAGTTTGTTTCCTAAAGTTCGGCATCTCTTATGGTTTGCCTCCCTCTCTGTTTTCATCTTATTTTATTTTTCCTTCCTTTTCCCTGAGTTTATCTATTTTCCTTCTTAAATTCTACACACGAGTGCAATCATATGGTATTTGTCTTTCTCTGACTGACTTACAAAGTTACCATACTACCTATTAACTTCATTCTTGGGTACTTACCCAGGCAAAGCAAAACCTTAATTTCTGATAAAAACCTGTAGGCATATGTTTATAGCAGCTTTATTCATATTTAACCAAAAACTAGAAACGACCCAAATGTTCTTCACCTGGTAAATGCGTTTTGTAAAAAATCTGTACACATCCATACGATGGAACACCACTCAACAATAAAAGAAGAAAAAAGTACTAAACACACAGCAATGTAGATGAATGTCGAACACATTATGCCAAGTGAAAGAAACAGGTCACAAAAGGCTACATGCTAAGTGATTCCACATACATGACATTCTAGACAAGACAACATTTTAGGGATAGAAATCAAATCAGTGGCTGCCAGGGGTTGGGACTTAGGATGCATTTGACTACAAGGAGCAGGAGGGAATTTTTTGGGGGATTGGAGCTGAAGAGTTGTTCTACATTTTGACTAGGATGGTGGTGACACAATTATGTGTGTTTTTATCTGTTCAGAGAGTTGTTGCTACTCTCCTCTTCGATCTCCTGTTGAGTTCATAGGTGTTCAGAATGGTTTGATCCCTATTCAGCTGAATTCCTGAGACCAGACGAAATCCAGGTCTCCTACT